TCACTTTTACTGAACTCACGAATGCAAAAAATCTTGTGTTGCATAGTAGCCATCTCGCTTGCAACTCACGCCGTGCTGGAGTGCTCTAGCGGTAGTATTATAAACCTTACAACATTCTCTTTCAAATGTACTTTACGGAATTCAACCGCAACATATAGCTCAGGCAATATAGCCAATTGAAATTGTGTTCATCTTTATGAATCACAACGCAAACCAAACAAATGCACGAGAGGGAACGTTCTGATTGTTTTTATTTACTGACGCCCAACAATATTTTGGGAGTATTCCGTATAATGGTATTCGAGAACAGGTTTCTGAGGAGAACATTTGGATCCAGGAGGGAGACCGTGTCGCGAGATTGGAGAAACCCACATAATGATGAACTTCATAATCTCCTTGCCAGCTGTTATTAGGATGATGACATCAAGGAGGGTGAGATCGGCGAGACATTTAGTACGAATGGAATGGAAGATAAATGCCTACAAGATTTTGATTGGGAAAAGTTAGGAAAGAGACCACTTGGTCAATTTATGTCTGCATGAGAGGATAATATTAAAGTGTGTTTCAAATAAATGGGGTGGGCTAATGTGGACTAGATAGGTCCAGCTGAGGATGAAGACCAGCGACCCAGCTACAACGACTGCTGCAATTAACCGCCAGGTTTAGTAGAATGTTCGTTGTGCAACTATTAGCTTCTCGAGAAGGGGTTGCTGCATGGAATTAATTTTTTAACTATTATGTCTCCCCTGTCATCAGATATTCTTCAAATGTTACAGTTTTATATAAAATATTCTAAAAAACGAGATAAATCAATTAACCAAATAGTATTACAATGTGGCCGAAGGAAATCTGTGCTTTATTTACAGTCGATAATTGGCCACGATCCATTTTAGGTGGGTCCCTTGTCACAACGGCATGGCGGGTCCTCAGGTTGCGGATGGAGGAGACGCCCTCCAGGTATGAAAGAAAGCTGCGAGTATATTGAATAAGCAGCCGCGGCCAGCCGTCAAGGGGTAGTCCTCCAGCTTGGGGGTTGGGCGTGGATTTCACAACTACTCACTGTAAAGAATAAACTCGTTACGAAAATTCTCAAGGAGACTCGGACCTAGACGGATTCCTTGGATAAACGACCTACGATAAAGAAAATGGATATGAGATTTGGTACATGGCATTTTCGAAGTATGTATAGAGCAGGCTCGCTCAGGGCAGTGGCGGAAGAAATCTTAAAATATAAGTTAGATTTAGCGGGAGTACAGGAGGTCAGATGGGACGGAGGTGGCATCGCACCAGCAGGAGACTATACATTTTTTATGGAAAGGGGAATGAAAATCATGAATTAGGTACAGGTTTTTTCGTACATAAGAGAATCATATCAGCAGTTAAGAGGGTAGAGTTCGTTAGTGATAGGATATCATATATAATACAAAGAGGTCGCTGATGTGATATCGTTCTGAATGTTCATGCCCTAACAGAGGATAAAATAGAAGATATAAAGGACAGGTTCTATGAAGAACTAGAACATGTATTTGAAAAATTCCCGAAGTACACTATGAAAATTTTGCAAGGAGATCTCAATGCCAAAGTAGGGAAGGAAGACTTTTTCAAACCAACGATTGGGAACGAGAGTTTGCATGAAATTAATAATGACAATGGAGTTAGAGTAGTAAACTTTGCCACATCAAAAATTCTTACTGTCAAAAGTACAATGTTCCTGCATCGTAACATCCACAAATTTACTTGGACATCTCCTAATGGGAAGATACACAGCCAGATTGAGCATATTTTCATAGATAGGAGACTGCATTCAAGTTGACTTGGTGTCTGATTATTCAGGGCAGGAGATGGTGAAACTGACCACTACCTGGTGGTGGCAAAGGTTAGAGAAAGACTGGCAGTGAGCAAACAAAAACGCACAGATAGAAATGTACACAGCTGAGCAGTTAATACCTGATCCCAGCCTTTTGAGGTTGAAATTGCTATTGCAAAACTGAAAAGGTATAAATCGCCCGGTAGTGATCAATTTTAGGCAGAATTTCTTCAAGCAGGAGGAGAAATATTATGTTCTAAGATCCAAAAGCTAATTACTTCTATTTGGCATAATGAAAAATTATCTGATCAGTGGAAGGAGACTATTATTGTACCTGTTCACAAGGAGGATGATAAAACAAAATGTAGTAATCATCGGGGGATGTCACTGCTATCAACTTCATACAAAATTTTATCCAATATTCTTCTATCAAAGTTAAGTCCATACATAGAAGAAATTATTGGGGATCATCAGTGTGGGTTTCGACATAACAGATCAACTACAGATCAGATCTTTTGCATTCGCCAGATATTGGAGAAAAAAAAATGGGAGTATGTTGAGACAGTACATCAGATATTCATAGATTTCAAGAAAGCATATGATTCAGTTAGGAGGGAAGTATTGTACAATATTCTAATAGAGTTTGGGATACCCATGAAACTAGTTACGAGTAAGCTGATTAAAGGAGGTTGGTTTAGAAATAAACGCAGAGAGAACTAAGTATATGTTGCTGTCTCGTTACCGAAATGCAGGGCAAAATCATGACATAACGATAGAAAACAGATGTTTTGAAAATGTGGCACAGTTCAGATATTTTGGAACGACGATAACAAATCAAACCTGATTCAGGAGGAAATTAAGAGGCGATTGAACTCGGATAATGCTTGCTACCATTCAGTCCACAATCTTTAGTCTTCTCGTCTGCTGTCCAAAATCATAAAAATTAGAATATTCAAAACTATAATTCTGCCTGTGGTTCCGTATGGGTGTGAAACTTAGTCTGTGACATTAAGGGAGGAACATAGACTGAGGACATTTGAGGATAGGGTGTTGAGGTGAATATTTGGACCGAAGAGGGATGAAGTGACAGGGTGTTGGAGAAAATTGCATAATGAGGAGCTTCATAACTTGTACTCTTCTCCAAGTATAATTAGAATGATCAAGTCAAGGAGAATGAGTGTCCAGCGCATGTAGCACGAATGGGTGAGAAAGCCAGAAGAAAAGAGACCACTGGGACGACCAAGGCGTGGGTGGGTGGACAATATTAAAATGAGTCTTAAAGGATAGGATGGAATGGCATGGATTGGTTTGATCTGGCTCAGGATAGTGACCAGTGGAGGGCTCTTGTGAACACGATAATGAACCTTCGGCTTCCTTAAAATTCTGGGAAATTCTTGAGTAGCTACAGATTTGGCTTCTCCTCAAGAAGTGCTCAGCTCCATAAGTACGAGTAAGTAAGTAAATTGACCGTGACAGTAAGACCACTTGTACTGAAATCTTGTTTTGGAGAGCGAAGAATACTGACCCAGAACTCGCTTCGGAATTCTGAGGAAAATCACGAAGATCTTCAGTCATGATCATCCGAGCTGTTATCTGGACTAAAAAATGTAGCTTCTGACCAAGAGGTATGATACCGCGCCATAGGTCAAGCGGTTAGTCGCTGGCTTCCCACCGCGGCTCTGGTTTCGATCCCGGGTCAGGTCAAGTGGGATTTGTGCTGGACAAAGTGGCGCTGTGTCAGGTTTTCTCCGAGTACTTCGGTTTCCCCTGCCAATCTTCATTGCACCAATTACTCCACAATCACCCTCACCTATCATCTGGGGCTGGTACAATAGGCCAGAAGTGGCCGCAGTACAAGAGACTTAGTCCCATCCCACTAGCAATATAAAAAAAGAGATATGATATCCTCCATTAAATTATATAAACGCCCGCCATTGATTTTGCTACGATTGTTGATACTGAAGGAAAACTGTCCCTTTGCTTAATAAGTTTAGCACCATACCATGAAGACGTATGGAGGAGTGAAGTTACAGCTCCACCATTCATGACCTCGGCACTAGATGGAAGTGAGTGGTCAGCTCTACGCCCCGGAATCTTAACTACCGGGAAAGTGCCACCGGTGCCCACTGGACAGGAGATTGGGTGAGCCTCAGAGACGGCTAAACTCTACGAACACTGAAGATTTTCTTTCCTTGTCAGGAACCGAACCCCGGCCGTCCATCCCGTAGCCCGTCACTATATCAACTGATCTAACCCGGCCCTTATACTTTGCACACTATTATAGCTTACTTAATGAATACCAAGCAGATGAACACAATCCACCGTAAATTGCACATTACAAGCCATGGCAGAGGCGCGGCCGGACAGGTTTTCTGGAAACTAATGTACAAATGCAGGAAGGTGTTATCCTCCTAATGGGGAGACGAGTTATTAATGGGCTCTGTGTAATATGTACACGAATTGTAAATGTTGCTACGGTTTATGGACTGCATTACTGAATTACAGTATTTCTCAACCAATGCAACTCATAATTCAATTCAATTCTTTATTATTTGTGTGTCGAGTCAACAGCCACAAGGCCAATTAGAGACAGAGGACAGTGCAGGTTCAAATAATTACATTATGGACAAACACCACATAAAGTCAAAAATAATTTACAGGCAAGTACTAGAGGAAAACGTATGCAGAAAGCAAGTAAACAACACAAACAAACAAACAAACGAGATGAGGACAGGTAAGAAGAACGATATAACACAGAACACTAGAGTATTAACAAATATTGCTACAAATTTTAGGTTGATGAGTATAAATGTCATTAAAAGAAACGGCTCTGACTGCAAATATGTCGAGATCTTTACCAATTACGTTGGCAGCACAGGCGCACAGAGCAGGACAGGGTTTATTAGAAGGGCAAACACCAAACAAGGGGAAGTCCCTAAGTTTTCTAGGAGGAACGCGAATACTGGCATTTTCCAAAAGGAAATTTTAAGATGAGGGCTCAATAATTGGATAACACTGAACGATTGCTACCAAGTACCATTCAAAAAGTGTTCCCGTGATGATGACCTTTTAAGAGTCGAAATATGTTGGTAGATTAAAGAAAAAGTATGATGAAGAAAGCAGTCTTCTGGGATTTGGCACCGTGTATATGTGGTGTTAACCGACGTTTCGGAGGAACGTATCGCCCCCATCNGGACACCTACGCCGTCCCTGGTGGCGTTTACGATGGCACATGGGGATTAAACGGGCTCTTGAGTGCTATGTGCCTTGGAGGTCTCTTCTTCGTGGTGAACTGGCCCGCTACAGTGGCTGCGGTCCTATGTTCTTTTCTCTCTACAGTTATTATGAACGTACTGATTCCTCCATTTGCGCAGGTGAGTTTTCTTGATATACCTCAACTCAGTTCTTTGTTATGATAATACGTAATAAATGAAATTATACAACTTACATAAAGCCTCTCTTACCTACTTACTTATGGAGCCGAGCCCTTCTTGAGAAGAAGCCAAATCTGCAGCTACTCAAGAATTTCCCAGCATTTCATGGAACCCGACGGTTCATTACCGTGTTCACAAGAGCCCTCCACTGGTCCCTATCCTTAGCCATATCAAACCAATCCATGCCATCCAATCCTATTCCTCTAAGATCCATTTTAATATTGTCAACCCACCTACGCCTTGGTCTTCCCAGTGGTCTCTTTCCTTCTGGCTTTCCCACCAATATCCTATATGCATTCCTTTTCTCACCCATTCGTGCTACATGATCTGTCCAGTTCATCCTCCTTGATTTGATCATTCTAATTATACTTGGAGAAGAGTACAAGTTATGAAGCTCCTCATTATGCAGTTTTCTCCAACACCCTGTCACTTCATACCTCTTCGGTCAAAATATTCACCTCAACACCCTATCCTCAAACATCCTCAGTCTATGTTCCCCCCTTAATGTGAGAGACCAAGTTTCACACCCATACAGAACCGCAGGCAAAAATTGTAGTTTTGTATATTCTAATTTTTATGTTTTTGGACAGCAGATGGGAAGACAAAAGATTCTGGACTGAATGGTAGCAAGCATTACCCGAGTTCAATCTCCTTTTAGTTTCCTCTTCAATCGGCCTTTCTTAAAACGACAATACTTTATAGAAGTTTCCATAATGCGATGATCCTGAGACACAAGTTCGAGTCAAGATCAGGACTACGGGTGTAGCGATTAACGTTTCTTGTGCTTTTCTTTCCCAGTGACTCAGGCAAACTCTGGGACAGCGTCTGCCAATTACTCACTGTGCAGACACATAATTTTATATAACCGATTATTACTTAACCTCTCAGTTGATGCAACATCGTTAAATTCCTTTCGAATAAATAAACATCATTAATAAAGAACAATTTTATTTTCATTATTCTTACTTATTGTAACCTGCAGACGTTACTTTTTTATTTCAGTAAACACGAGCATTTGGAACTACAGCACAAAACGCCAGTCTGCTGAGGGCTTCGCACATAATGCTGAGGTCTGTCTGTGCGTCCACGGGTTTAATTTCAACACTATCTCATGAATTTACATTGAATTTGGTACTGCACGGCTATACAAAATCTGGGAATAGAACTGAAATCTTCTGGTACACATAGCATGCTGGACTATGCTTCAGATCGATCTTTATCAGTATTCTAAATATCGATATATCGTACAAATAATTTGCATACAACACGAGATGTAGCAATCTCATTGAGAACTATAAACGTTTAGGCATATTTGAAATATTATTCGATGTCATGAATGTGTAGCGAGACGCGGCTGTGCAGCTGCAGGTCTACACTCGCTACACATCTCTGTCCCTCATCATGGAGGCGTGTTCAGGCCATTGTAATGATCTCGATTTAGCCTCCCTACATCTTCAACACGCAGCGCACTTTCTCAACGCTGTCAGTTCACTTCGTGTTTGCATTTTACACTCATACATCTACCAGATACAAGTTTTACTTTCGCTGTGAACACCTTCCGGCAATTTGCTGACAAGTTGGGTACAATTCAATTCCATTTTGAGTTGCTTAAACTGCTCATATTATTTCTGTGGAAGGTGTTTTTATAGGAAACAATAAATGACGAATGAAAAGCAAGAAAAGTGACAGACCGGGAATGCCTATATTATTAAGATGTTATTGATTATTTGGAATATTTTCAGATACTGATCATGAAAAAATATGTAGTCTCCGACTAATAGATAATGAATCCTTATAAATCGCGATGCAGTTAAGAAAATTGTTTGAGAACGACAGTAACATATCAAAATTACATTCACGAAGAAGTTAAACAGCAGCGTAAATGCTGCAATACTTGCTCAATTTCGGTTTAGGATTCTTTGCCATCCCGTCTCCCGTCTAAACATCTGAAAATATAATGAACTACAAAAATATAATACAGTTATTTCTACTTACTAGCTTACTTCATTCGGGCGTGAACCTTGTTCCTCTTCCTTTCTTAGGGCTTTTGGGTCCAAGAGAGACGGAGCTGTAGAAGGATGGGAAAAATAATATAATGAAAAAGAGTTCTACCTTCTGGGATATAATCCAGTGTAGCCCGTTATATCCCAGAAGAAAGAACTCTTCATAACCACTGGTGTAAGGACTTCAAATCCTACACAGACAGTTAAGAACTTCTTGATTTGCATTCTATGTCATACATTTTTGAGTACTTAGATCAGCGAGGAAAAGAGGGATGGAACATATAGCACACAAGGGGGAAATCAGGAATAAGGAAACATTTAGTCCAACATGAGGGCTGAGCCAATGCAGGTCACTGAAGCACAGACAAGAGGAAAATGTTAAAATGGATGCCAGCGTGTGGGGTGAATTCATGGGTTCCAACATATGGTTCCGCCGGTCACGGTAGCCGAGCGGTCTAAGGCATGTACTGTCTTCGCTCGCTTGGAAACCGGAATCGTGGGTTCGAATCCCACTCAGGGCATTTAGTTTCTGTGTGTGCGTTTTTCTGTGTTTGTGTACAGGTAGAGGCCTTGCGACGAGCTGATCACCCGCCCAAGGAGTTCTACCGAATGTATAAGATCTAGAAAGACGGAAGTGAACGGAGTTCATGGAGGTAGGCCTAGGCCCACTGGGGCTGTAGTGGCAAAAAAAAAAAAAAGATATGGTTCCACAACCGGTTACTTTGAACCCGATAATGAATAAATCTGCTTCGCCACTGCTAAATTCTCAAGAGAGACTCACGTACGTGGAGTTGCTTAATGTTTGCATGTTACTGTGCCAACCTTAAGCGACAATTGAAATAACAGATATAATACGAGTAATTCAGCATTCACACGCTTCATGTATTTATGCAAAACCATTTCAGGCCAACCTCTCTCCCATGAGCCTACCTTTCAACATCAGCACTCTGTTATTCTTATGCGTGTCGTCGGCCGGTGCTCTTGTCCGTCCGGACGTCATCAGCTACCCGGAGAAGCATCGTCAAGAATACAAACACATGCTTTTGCGAAAAACACAGGTACTGTGGAAACACTTATTATGTACACTGTGTGATAACAGGAATCTGCTTAACGTTTTAGATTTTCAGACAGAGTTGAAGAACGTCAGCTAACGGACATTTGACTTATTTGCCTTTTCAAACTGTTTTCATGTCGTTCATTGGCCACTGTTATTCTATTTGTATTATTTCTCATACATCAACATCAGTTGAGGGAAATGTAAAGAAAAGAAAAGAGTTAAAATTAAGAATAAATTAGTATAATATTAGATGCTCCTCCCCTCTTTACCTACTTACTATTGCTACTTGGGGACGGTAGCTGCATTTATCCTTGGTTCAGTTGTTACGTTCACAATGTTCCCCAGATGGAATGAAGTGTCCAAGCTCATCTTTCAACAAGAAAAGATTGAAACTCCATAGCAACAGGTATTTAATAGCAGTTAAACCTAAATTCCTACCGCTTCTCTGGTCTAGTGGTCAGAGTTCCTGGCTACAGATCCAGACGTCCGGGTTTGATTCCCGGCGCTACCAGATTTTCTGAGAAGTAGTTGGTCTCGAACGGGTCCACTCAGCCTCGTGAGGATAATCCAGGAGCCGTTTCAAGAAATTAGCGGCCCCGATCTATAAAGCCGAAATTAACGGCCGTGGGGCTACGCAACACCCTATGTCCGCTGAATTTGGCACTAACTTTGCCAATAAGCAGCGATCACTAGGTCGGTATTGTTCGCTTGCGGACTAAAACTACGGCGTTTTTATTTTTTCTTCTAAAAGCATCTAGAAACAAATCCCTGTAGCGTTCTGGTGAAAGTAACTTCAGTGTAAATAACTTTATTTTGAAGCTGAGACCTACCGAAATGTCCCCTTGATATGTGTATGAAGACTGTGAATTTCACAACTGATCTTCAGAAGTTTTGCTTTAACAGGAACAATCATCCTCGACGTCCGACATTAATGATAAGGATGAAGACATGGAGAAGAAGGCGTTGTCTGAAGTGAAAGTAGTGTAAAGAAGAAACCAACGTGGAAGGGACGCAGAGCCTAGTCACGGACACTCGGCTGGCTTCATCATCCGCTCCGATACCTTCCACCGTTTCTGAAATGAAAAGCAAAATGGAGTTGCGTCCCTGGAAACAATTCATGGTAAGACCTGTCGTCCACCTTATAGGGCCTAAATATATGCCACGAATACATTGCGTTCTAATTCACACAGGCACATGCTTGTTATCTATCGAAACAATGACGGCATATACTCTCTGCGACCACAACCAGTAAAGCGAATGGCTACATGCTGGATTTCCGATGTTTCACATTCAGCGCAGATTCGAAGGCCTGGCCAGCTTCGCGAGCTTGAAAATGGCCACTAAATTCCGTACATTGCCGCATGAAGAATTCCCTCCACAACCCCAATATGAATTTATGGAGTGCTGCTTGGTCGCAAGAGAAATTTTGGTTTTAGAAAGACTTTAATTGTTGAAGAATTCCGTCTTCTGGAATGTGGCGCAGTGCTGATCTTATGTGAACCAACGTTTCGGAGAAACGTATCGCCTCAATCTTCAGGCTTGAAAAATCCTCGAGCGAGGAAGCAGCTTGAGCAGGTGGCTGCAGTCACGTCGGTTAACACAAGATCCTCGTGAACCTCGGTCCACTGATCGTGCTAGGGTCGCTGCTTTAATCCATCCTCAATATGCTTTTTCTGCAGATACAGGCCTTACGTTGGGCTGGTCCTCCAACTTTGTGTCCACCATATTCTTATATTTTGTGTGACGTTAAGAAAGACTGCAGAATATGCATAATTACTATCTTCTGGGATGCGGCGCCGTGTAGATTGTTAGTTGGATACCAGTGTTCTGAAGGAGCCTGCTCCCTCCATAATCAGGAGAGCGCAGTGCACCAGTAGGAGTCCCCAAGCGTTGGCAGCACATCTCCCAAATTGCACGGCGTCACAACTTACTAGATCTCATTTTAAATACTCATCGCTGTGAGAACTTCGAATCTTACTCAAGGCGACGACTACAACAACAATAATAATGTTAATAAAAATTTCTACATAGGTGTAAAATCTGTATGGGTTTGAAACTTGGTCTCTGACATTAAGGGAGGAACATATACTGAGGGTGTTTGAGAACAGGATGTTGAGGAGAATATTTGGACCGAAGAGAGATAAAGTGACAGGAGGTTGGAGAAAACTGCATAATGAGGAGCTTCATAACTTGTACTCTTCTCCAAGTATAATTAGAATGATCAAGTCAAGGAGGATGAGATGGGTAGGGTATGTAGCACGAATGGGGGAGAAGAGGAATGCATATAGGATATTGGTAGGAAAGCCAGAAGGAAAGAGACCACTGGGAAAACGAAGGAATAGGTGGGCGACCAATATTAAAATGGATCTTAGAGAGATAGGATGGAATGTTATGGATTGTATTGGTCTGGCTCAGGACAGCGGAGGGCTCTTGTGAACACGGTAATGAACCTTCGGGTTCCATAAACTGCTGGGAAATTCTTGAGTAGCTGCAGATTTGGCTTCTTCCCAAGAAGGGCTCAGCTCCATAAGTAAGTAAGTAAGTTTTGAAATATTCATTCGAATTTACTTTTCCTCTTTTGGCACAATTTTTGTCAAGCAATGAAGTGAACACCCTGAGGGTATGTGGACATATCTGCCATCAGTGTTACGAAGACCTCGAGAATGAAATTAAATTTACTGCTCATACAATTGAAATAGTTTTGTCATATTGGAAGAAGATTCCACTACACACATGTAAATCATTTTGAATGAATACACACCTATTGTAATGCATTTAATTACATCTTGAAACTGGATTGGAGAGAGAACAGAATATTGCATCACGTTAAAACAAGGATGATTGAATTTTACCGAGAAATTTAAAAGTGCAATAAATTGAACGTATCGTGTCGTATGTAAATGATTGATTAATAACAGCTGTAGTTTAAGTATCAATATAAATGTAAATGTAACCTGTTCATTGTACATTATCATTTAAAAATAAAACAATGTATTTAACTATATGTACTTATCCATAAATTCGGTATGTTAGTGACATGTATCGATCTTAATATGTTCTGACGATGCTGTAAACGCCTAGAAATGTTAAATTATTATTTTATTTCTAATAGCTGTTATCATAATTAATAAGAATAGAACAATAAATTGAACACTTCGTAATTTCATTATATATATGTATATATAATTGAAGCCGGTCACGGTAGCCGGTCACGTTAGCCGACCGGTGTAAGGCATGTACTGTCTTCTCTCGCTTGGAAACCAGGATCGTGGGTTCGAATCCCACTCAGGGCATGGATCTTTAGTTTTGGTGTGTGCGTTTTTCTGTGTTTGTGTACAGGTAGAGGCCTTGCGACGAGCTGATCACCAGCCCAAGGAGTCCTACCGAATGTGTTAGATCTAGAAAAACTGAAGTGAACGGAGAAGTTCATGGAGGTAGGCCTAGGCCCACTGGGGCTGTAGCGCCAAGGAAAAAAATATACATATATAATTGAATGACATTGAAAACTATACAGGCCAACTTAACTACAAAAGTAGATCACATATAAATGGGTAAATACTTGTCTGTAGCTTACATTCTGGTAACAATCCGAAACTCTGCATAGTAAACGAAGAAGACATTCAGTGAAGCCAAGGTGATCCAGCCAGTGTTTATGTTGTGGTTCTTACAAGTGGAAGTTTAAAGCTGTTGACAGATGGAACGAAAATAATGGAGAACAGCTGTCTGTTTTAATGGAGGCCAAGTATAGCGGTCGCGGCGGCTCTGTCACGGAATTCTGCCTAAGACGTCAATATGCGAGATTGCAATGAAGAAAACTCGCCTCCACACCACGACGAAGATTGGATCTGCGCATTAGTTCTTCAAAGAAATTAAAAATGACGTTAAAACAACATGAGCTGTAAGAGACGGGGGCGCGGGCCGCTGATATGAACGGATTGTTGTCAGGTCCTCGAGGTCCACAGAAAATTGTACGCACATGGAAGTGGATACTGCGGTACTGAACTGTTTCGTATGGTGCGATTTTACGACCGGAAATGCCGTGCAGTTTGCTATATCTGTAAAGAGTTTCCCTCTTTCGACTCTCTTCGGAAGAAGAGGTATCTGCTGATGTGTACTGAAATGCAGTTTTGTCCGTCAAATGTAAAATAAAAATTAGAGAATAGGAATAAAACCATTATCTAGAAATAATAAAGAACTAAAAGTATTATTACTTCTAAGTTATTGTCACATGTATTAGTGACTTGTAGACGGGGTTTGGACTGCTAAATATATTTACTGGATATTCACGCGTCGTAAACACAAGCAATTGTCCCACTCTGAATATTGCTATAACAATAACACAAAATATTAATTCTTCAACGTCAGTTTTGCTGGGCAACCGTTGGCTGAACACCTCCTGAAAGCAGGAATAATGGAGCCAGACACGTAATTACACATTTGCTAGGCAACGATTCATGCACGTTTCCGAGACAACACATTTATGAAGAGCAGCAATGGAATCCTTGGATCCGGTGATCTCTGTTCGGTTCTCTGGCAGTTATAAAAGGAAGTTCATTCTTGAATTAGAGAGATCCATTTGCAAGAGAATTCAGTAGTCGAACGTTCATCTGTGGAATGTTAACAAGTGGACAACGGAAGCTGAGGAAGTGGCTGACTCGTAAACTGGAACCGCGACAGTCGCGCAGAAGGGAAGACACTCGTAGTCCAGTAAGGAATGGAGCGAGTCTTAGGCACTCCTTGATTGTGAGCTGACGTAATTGATAGTAATTGTAGAGAAGTGCCGATAAATTCGATTATCCAATCCAGAACCCGCACGCAGACCCTTCATACGTGAAAACATCAGTAAAGTATCCCTTTAAGAACAAAGTTTGAAATAATGTGAATATAAAAAAATTCATGTTTACATAGAGATAGCAAGGTAATCTTATAACCTTATTTTTACAAAACAAGGAAAGCAGGTTAAAATCGTATACGGATATACGTAAGAGTGGGGACAGACAGTAAATGTGTTGGCAAATGTTTGCAGTTCAGTGTGTTGGTGATTCCGATGAAAGAAAGATAATGACTAGTCTTTCTTGGTCCTGGAAAGAGAAACATACGTGTAAATCGAGATATTCAGACTATATCATCCAGATACGTGGGAATCAAAGGAATCACTAATCAAACGAGATACATCGTTTTCTATTCCTGTACCTAACCTTTCACAATTTCAGTCTACATGCAACTTTGCTTAAAGAGGAACAAGTACGTGGGTCATTCAGAAAGTGAGACTGTTTGCTGATTTAAAAAAAATGAATCACTAAAATTAATATATTAGGTCATTACTACAGACCTCAAATCGTTTTTCTACACAATCTCCATGAAGATGCAGGCACTTGTCTTGTCGTGTGAGGAGTTTATTTTTTTTTTAATTCGCATAGTGAGGGGTGGAGTCCAGCTGGGTCCGATCGGCACGTCGGCCACTGATGGGCCCATTGTACCTGTCCCGGGTGATTACGATGATTGGAAAGGGAAACCGAACCCGGGCCACCGCGGTGGGAAGCCAGCGACTAACCACTTGAGCTATAGCGTGTGTCGAGTTTCTATACGTCTGCGTTTCAGGAATCTGCTGCCGACAGTCCACTGAACCAGTCTTCTCCATTGAGCATGCGCTGCTGTGCGCAAACGATCTTTACTTTCTGGACGAGCCTCGAATTTTGAAATATTGTTCCGGTTCATTCAGTGCGTTCTGCACAGCTGCCTATAAATTTTCAACAGTTTGGTCCGTATTTAGGCCGTTACTGTTTACAGAAAACTGAAACACCGTCCTGTCGTTGTAAACTTGAATCTGCGGGGTTCTGACTCGCATTTTCTGCGTAGGGGGTTATGAATCCAAATGTGTGCATCCTGTTTCTTTGAGGCGAGGACAGGTATACACAACCCCCTCTTTCAAATCCACACACACACACACATACACACTGTTTATTTTCGTGTTCAAGGATGTCCAATATTGCGTGCAGAAGAAGAGCCATGTAATATTATGACTGGAAATATTTAACGACGTTCTATAAACTGCTGAGAGGGACTGAGAAAAAATACTGAAGGAACTGGCTACGTCTTATCCAGTATTCCTCGGAAACA